ATTCATTCTGTGTAATCCTATTTTGAATAATAAACAATATTGAGGGTACATTATTTAGTTCAATTTATATTTCTTAATATCAAATATTGGAGTATTATGTTTTACTAGTCTGTTACATCTCAGGTTGAATATTTTGCACTTTTTTCCGTTAAAAATGAAACGTGTTTTTGACGAATAATTTTTGTTGTCTATTTTTTTCTCCGAACTATTTTTCTTCACCATCGTAGTGCTTAATTCGACCCTCATAATGAAATATTCTTCGTAATCTTGTTTCCTTCCCCTAACCCCTTTGAGTTTTCTTCTCTCTTCCCTTCTTTGACGTTAATTTTATAATCGAGGTGCAACCAGATTCTTAGAAAACTGTACCACGGATGGTTTTGTTGTTAACAGCTATTAGTAAAAAAGTTACACAAAAACGTGTAGCGCAAGATTTTTCATGACGACTGAGTTAAATCACCCGTCCTTCATTATCAAGCACCATTGAAATCGACTACAAATAAAATTTGGCTCTACGTTCACTCCGAGTTGGAGGCAACAACGGTCACTGGGGGGTAGGCGAACCTGCTCATCGCAAGGATGTCATTGAGGGCGTCAGCGCGTGTCGCGCAAGTGTCAACGAACAAAGGGATTTGGGTCCGCGGCGAAGCAGAGTCCTCTCGGAGAACGCAGTCCCAATCTTCGCTGGCGCCCCTGGCGGCGGGGCGCGGCCTTTCCGCGTGCAGAGGATGGGGAGGGGCGGGCTACTGCTGCTTCTTAGCCTCCGCCGGCGCACGCACGGGATCGGACGTTGCAGCCTTTCTAATCAAGCGCCGCCGCCCGCGACTAACGAGGGCCCGGCGTGCTTCGGGGCGACTGGAGCGCCCTATGCCCCCCGCGCCGCCGTGAGGCAGTAATTGCTGCCGGGGGCGTCAGAGGGGCGGGCTGCCCGGGGAGCTGAGGCGCCGGGAAGCAGAGACATCGGGGCGGTCGAAGTGGACGGAGCGCTTAGGGGTGGTGGTGGTGGGTGTGGCGTGTGAAATGCGCTGGAAGGAAGGGACGCCTCAGGGTGGGAGGGGAGGTTTGGGAAGGGTGGGGTGTTGGGAATCGGTGGGGAGGTTGTGGGTGGGGGTTGGAGCGAGCGGAGAAATGTGGGGGTTCGGATGCGGGGTGGCGGGCGGACAGTGTTGCGATTGCGGATGGCTTGTCGAAGGGGGGGCGGCGGGGGCGATCAGAGGGAGGGGGTGGGGTGGAGGGGTAGAGACTTAATCGGAAGACTGCCGGTCCCCACGGGCGGCCGTCTGTTCCCATGTCAATAAGCGTCCGGTGCACAACGGGTTATCGACGCTTGAATTACTCAAGAACGTCACAGCTCAGGCGCTCTGCAGCTGATTGGGCCGCAGGGTCGAAACATTTTGACGCGGATTTCCATGTAGAAATACAATTTTAACAATTCGCCGTGGACAGAAAATTAAATTGGTACTTTTCATTATTTTTTCATGAAATTAATGAAGATTAAAGAACTTTTTCCATTGAAGCGCAGCGTAAGTGAGATAACTACTGCGGTTTTATACTATTCATATTCAATTATTGCAAAGAATTAATTTATTATAATAATTCCAACAAAAAATCGTCATATTCAAAGAACAGACTTTAAAGTGAATGTGACATAGCAATTTTTGATATTCCGTTATAACATATATATTTGTATATTGTATGACGAAAACTTTAAAGAATTTAATCATGTATTCAGACGAAATCGAAAACATGAATTAAAGTACACAGACTACAACAGTATGGAATCTGAAATTAGGTACTCAATCATTTTCAAAATAATATTTTGTTAACTGAAATTAAGCAGAATGTGAAACAAGTTGGAGGCATTGCTCTCACTAAGTCTAACGACGCTAATTAATTCACTAAACAATTTAAATCATTTGTTATTTGTAGAATTGAGAAAGCTACAAATGGAAGGTATATGTTAAATTTCGGTCCAAATTAGATTACAAGTAATGAAACTCAATAATTAATTTAGATATAACATAAAATTATAATGCAAATCGTATTCAAACTGTAAACGTACTAATTATTATCTCATCAAATACAACAACCAAGATTCCATATTACGAAGGAATATTGGTTTAAAGTTCATAGATCGAGGACTGAATAACCTTTTTTATTTGCAGTATAATGTAGTGAAGTAAACGTTGAACAATATTTACCAAGATTTTTTTTGCTTTTTGCATTTGCTTCGTTTGCAAGATTATTTTCTATTATATAACAAGAAACTGTAAAAGTTCCAGAGGTTGTTCTTACAATAATGAAGTGTCCACTTCTCTTACAGAAGACAATGATATCCGTCATTAGCACCTTTCACTCATTACAAAGAGTTTAATAAAACATTTTAAAAATAAAACGTGAAATAGAAAGAAAACGATCTGATATTTATAGGTCGTAAATATTCGACCTTGCTAGCACATTCAGAAGAAATACAAACACACAGAGAAAAACTTCACTTTCACATCGATTTACGAAAGCTGATCACAGAAAATGCTAATGATGTTGAAAATAAATATAATACCTCTATGATCTTTCTTTTTAACATTTTCTTTTTGATAACCACATTAAAATTCTATTTAACATTTTTTTCTTGACAACAACATTAAAGTTTGCACTGCAAAGTTCCGAAATGAAAAATTCAATTCAAAAAAATATGGGGCCGTTTAAAGAACCGAAAAGTATGGAAATTGAAGCATTAAACAACAAAATTTCAACTGCAAGAAATCACCAACTTTAGAGTTTTACTTACCCAAATAAAGAAATAAGTAATTAAATAAGATATCCTTCTCGCACATACCTTTTTCTCAGAGTATTTGGAGACCAGTCTTACTTCGTGATATGCTGGAAACAAGGCCAGTCATGTCCTCCCAATTTCCTCTTGTGCCATTTGAATAAAAACATTTAAAATAGTTATAAACTAAAGCGCTAGAGGATAATCATCCTCTGCTCACAAATACTTGACGCAGCTATTCACAAACGAACACAATTTTTTCGTAATTGGTCGCTATTTGCATTGAGCACCTCTCAGTGTTCCTAGAGATATTCTAAAATGAGTTTGGCCGAAGTTTTGCCATTTTCCTTCCACTAAAATGAAACATGCATATATATATATATATATATATATATATATATNNATATATATATATATATAATTGCTTCATCATAAACAATAATCATACTTAAAATGCAATGTTTTATGCAGAAAAGTGCTCGTCAAAGAAAGTGTGGCGAGCATAGACAGTTTATCAATGATCGATGTTAGTAGTGCAAAACACTTTTTGGTGTGTTTTTTAAAGAGGCAAATGGTTCAGCCAAACTCAAGATCAAGTTGGCCTTACACGTTTGTTTCTCTATACAGTTTTTTTTGTTGCGTAGATTCTAAATTTCAGTATAAGGTTGTTTAGAGAATTGTCACACAAAAAATATGAAAACTTCAAGAGGTATTTTGCAAGAACAACTTTTGCACAAAATATATTCAGTACGAGTTGGATGCAACATTCTTTCCAGTACACAAATTACAATTCCAAAAACTGTATTTGTACTTAAAACTTATGGAAAGACAAAAAAGAATCTCAGCGTTATTTAAGAAAGAATGAAAATTCATAGCGTAAACGTCGTGAAAATAAAAATATGCAGAAAATATGAAAACAAATAAATACATTTAATCTGAAAAATCTGAAAGAAACGGTCTGCTTTTGCTTTTTAAGTTTTTTTACAATTTAAAGAAAGAACTGACACGATATCTCGTTGAATCATAGTTGAAAAATTATCCAATATTCGTGTCGTCATTCAATTTGTACGGATTTAAAAGGAAGAAAAGGGAAACAACACTGTTAACGTCACTAATAAAATACCAGTAGACTTTGCAAAGAAATGGCATACGTATTCAATCACAATGAATGACTACCAGAGTTTAACGATCCATGTTTAAAGTGGATCCTACGACGAAGCAACATTATCTGTCAGCCAACAGTTAGAAATATCAATCGGTTCAACGGGATGCAATACCTACGTAAGAAACCGACGAAGAAAAATAAATACCTGACCAAATCATTCCACTTGAACACGCTCTAGAAATGGATTTCATCTTTCCATGAGTTTCCATAAAACAATCGTGTAAGACAGTCTTCACTCTACATTTTACCACGAGCGATTATCACTTCCTCTACGCTCACAACTTCTCAGTGAGTCTTTTGGCGTTCCGTGGCGGCGCAGCCGACGGCCCTTAGCACCAATCTCTGTTACAACTGGACAGGGCACGCCAACAAAACAGGTGACGTGTCAGGTCGCCAATCTTGGAGGGGAAACGAGCACATTAGCGTTAACAGCGTTCCTATTTATCCAAAACGAGGTGTGCCGCAAGGTATCAGTTGATTACAAATATTTAATTTTTTTAAAAAATGTGTAATTTATACTTTTTAAACTATACCGTGTTCTATAACGTGTGTACGAACATTCATTTGAAACGAAAGCGGTAAAGTAGGAAACCACGTAATAACAAATAAAGAGCGCAAAAAATTGTGGCACAGCAAAACAGAAAGGTGCACAACTAATATTCAATATAAATTAATTTTGTAAATAGATTGTTCTCACATCAGAGCGTTTACAAAATTCTATTAAATTTTAACGCCATGATCTTGAAAAGTATTCTTTCAATACTTTGATTGCTCACATCATTATATTAAATAGTAGAAGCATACATTTCCATTACTTTATCATGTTGAACATACATGTTTCTGAGCAGACGAAAATTTGCGAAGGTGCAATGTTCATTCATTGAAACCGTGATTTACTTATGAAAGGGGTCATGCCCACCGTTTCCCACGTGCCGTGTCCAGTTGGTAGAGCTGGGCTCGAGCACGGTTCGAGCTGGGCAAGAGCACGGTTCGAGCTGGGCTCGAGCTGTGCTAGAGCTCGGCTCGAGCTGTGCTAGAGCTCGGCTCGAGCTGGGCTCGAGCTGGGCTAGAGCGCGGCTAGAGCGGCCCGAAGACGCGCTGGCCGCGCGTGACGAGCATGGAGACAGCGACAACGGCGGCCAGGAAGACGACGAGCGCCAGCGCCCACGTGAGCAGGCGGCAGGCGCAGCGCCGCTGCTTCGCCTCGCGGATCTTGCGCAGCAGCCGCTCCGCGCGCGCCACGTCCAGCGTGAAGTCCGGCGCGCGACCGCCCACCTGCGCACGCACACACACACACACGCCCGTTAACACCACTGCCACTTGATAATGATAATAATAATGATGATGATGATGATGATAATAATAATAATAATAATAATAATAATAATAATAATAATAATAAAATAACGAGGGTCAGGCCACAGGGCCTGATCTTACGTCTAACCACAGAAAGAGAGAGAGAGACAAAAAGAGACAGAGAAATAAAGAGAGACAGAGAGAGACACAGAGACAGAGAGAGACACAGAGACAGAGAGAGACACAGAGACAGAGAGAGACACAAAGACAGAGAGAGACACAGAGACAGAGAGAGACACAAAGACAGAGAGAGACACAAAGACAGACAGAGACACAGAGAGAGACAGAGACACAGAGAGAGACAGAGAGAGACAGAGACAGACAGAGAGAGACAGAGAAAGACAGAGACACAGAGAGACAGACAGAGGTGAAGGGAGTGTATGTCATATGCAAAAAAAAAAAGAAGTATCATCTGCTATTTGACTCATAAAAAGCTGATAATTCTTACTTTTGCTTACATTAATTCATATATTTTGTTCACGCTAATTTTTTTTATTTTAAAACATTTTTGGATAGATCGATTTCGGCAATCTTAAAATTCAGTGCAACAGTGTTCGGGAAATAATTTTATGTGCGCATCAAGTTAGAGATAAAGTGACCTTTTCAGGAAGGTTTTTTTTAGTCAAGAACTCGAGTCAATTTCCAAGAATCTGAAAGTCGTTATTTGTCGGTTCATCAGTAACATCAGAGAGGACACGACGTTGAAATGTATAAGGGAAACAAAAAATTCCCATCACGGTTATTCTCCACTCACAACTGCAACCAGACAATTCGCAACCTCATATGGTCACGGGCTAGCAACTCCTCTCATAGTATGAAACGCTGCAACTTTCTCGACATTATATTTTAATTGCACATATCTCTGAGGAAAGATGGAAATTATGTGTTCTTTTATAACTCATACTATTTTCAAAACATTACAATGTGTCTCTAATATTCTTAAGTATCGGAAGAATACATACGAGGAATTGTTTTGAGATAACCGCTTTATTCACACTACTGAGGTGAACAAGGACTACCAAGACAAAGTATTCATTAAATCCAGATGAAATAAAAATTACATCAGTTTGACCATTGTATTTGGAGTAACTATTATTACAAATGTCAAAGACGAATAGAATATTGTGAATACAGTAGTACTTATTTTTCAAGCAAAATGGGATATATTAGGAAGTAAAGATAAAACATTAATATACCTTCATTTGATTATATGGAGTAGTCATGAGAATAAATATAGAAATACAGAGCTACATTATTATTTAGGTTATTCTTAAACTTAGATATACCTTACGTAGAAAAATACGAAGCCTGTTTCTACTCAAGTAGGTTACGTTAATACAATTCCATTCCGGCAACGTATTCTTTCATACCAACAATTCTCAACTTACAATGTGAGTAATATCAGCACTAGACATCATGCAGTACGGCTGAGAAGGAGTAGTTTCATTACATGTGGAATGAGTTAAGCCAGAATGAGATAAGCCGAATCTCAACTCGTATGAAAGTATGAATTTCCACTTTACCTGCGGAATTTCACATGAATTTGCGTACATTGAGTCCCAGGGCTCGACATATAACCGTCTGTGGGCAAATGTTTTCTCTTCACTGATAGCAAGCAAATTTCAGCAAATACATCGCTTATTGTAAACATGCCTGTCCTACATTCAAAACATTTCATAATGATTTTCCGCAAAACTGCAAAAGCTTTTAAAGTAAACTGGTTAAGCAACCATTGAAAATGTATCATCTCACAATATTCTGTTTAAATAATACAAAAGTTAAATTTTGTGCTCACGTAATACATTTTTAGCAAAACAACAGATATGAAATTACACCATCTAAAAAATTAAGCTAAAGTACATTCAAACATAGTGCTGTAAAACTGACCTGCCCTAATAATATATTTCTCTTTGAACATTTTTATTGACATTTGAATCTTGAAACACAGGACGCGTTTAATCAGATTAAAACAAAACATAATGCTAGATGAAGGAAACGTTTGAAATGATTAATGCACAAAAATTAAGCAAAATACTAGACATATATTAAATATTTAAAATGAGAGATATACATGTCAGATTCAGAATGCTGGAAGTAAAATAAAAATGTCGAGAAAATTAGATATGAACTTTCACATATTACCGTCTCTTTTGAAATACTGCTGTTACAATCTCTTATTCTGAAGTACTTTTACTGTCATGACGTAATGTCAACCAATCGTAGTAATAAATCACTTCAATACTTTGAAACCTCTTCCCAAAACTGAAGATGAAGGCAGTTGAGTCACGCATACGCATCTCCACTTTGAAGTGGGTTCCTACCAAGCCACGGCGGGCGCGGTCGGCCGGATTTTTTCGATAAGTCGTCCGTAAAGGACGACCGTGGGACAGTACTGTTCACGAGCGTAATCGACCGCCCATATAAGAGAAAGGAGCTCGGCCGTTGGGGGTTTTCCGGATTCCGGGATCTCTCTCCCTCCCCCCCTCCGTCTGAATAAAATATTACGAAATGGGCGGGCAGCAATATGTCCCGAAGCGGCTTTCCCCCCGTGGCCTCGTAGGTGCACCGGAGCGCGCCGCACTGCAATTAGATAAAGCACCGCGCGCCGCACCGCCCCCGCCGCCCGCTCCGAGGGCCTCAGTCCCCGCCATTGTCCCTCAACGGAGGCGCGCGCTCTCGCTGGGGTCTGCGGGCGCGCGCCGAAATTCCCGGAAGAAATTTCGCAAGTTACCGACTGTGATAGAGTTAAAAAAGTATTTGATTTTCTTTTCTTTTTTCTTTTTCGTTCGAATTTTTTCTTTCGTTGATTTTTGTTATAGTTAGTTAAGTTGAAAATAAAAACTACCGTCCCGGAAAGTCTAGGTCGTTATGGCCGAAGAGCCGTAGCTGCCTCGTGTCTGGAGGGTCGCGGGTTCGAATCCCGACCGGGGCGTGGATGATTGTGGGTATACGTATACCTTTACCGTTATCGTTACCCCCAATGTTACTTACCGTGGTCGCTATATGAGCTCAGTAGTAAAAAAGAGACCTTAAATAAGTAAAACAATCATACTTTGTATAAAGCAACTATTAATAGTTAAGCTTACTAATACTTAGCTTGAAGAAACTATGTTGCCACATCTTTGCTGGGATAGCGTACCCAGACGAGATTTACCCTCTTTTGTTACCAGAACCCGAGTTTTTAAGTAGGAAATTCGCAGTTGTCCGGCGCATGATTAAATACTTTATCTTCTCAAGAAGTAAGGCAAGAAAGTAAAAATGGATTAGATAAAGTTTTTGTTCCCCTATGATGCTGATGAAAACAATTGTGAGCATAGATGAAAATGATTAAGTTTGAATTGAAGTATTGAACTCCAGTTGTGTGTGTTTGAAACTCACAGAAAACAGAATATGTACATATTATTTGTTTTTCTAACAAACTAATCAATTAATTTATAGATGAAAGAAACTATTCACGCCACGTTTGGCTGGTAGTATTAGTCTTGCGAACATTTAAGTGGTTATTGGTGTATCCAACAGTCGAATTCATTTTTTCTCATCCATTTCAAATATCCTTTTGCAAATGGATGTGTCTTCAATAGACGGAGACATCTTAAATGAAACATACACAAGTTTTCATTCCTGATTATCAGATGTCGATTTAGCCGGCTATTCCCGAATATCAGATGTTGACTTGGCCAGGGAGTATTCATGACTTGCGTCGGTACAGATCTTTATTTAAATCCTCGCTTAGCTGCTGTGTGGTGGAGGTTAAGTCGCATGGAGAGGCCAGTTTAAAGAAAATGGTGACCACATGAACTTTATTATTTTATATTTTACGGGAATTTTTGCAAAACTAAGCAAAAGTAAAAATTAAAAAAGCATTTTATTACTTGTACGTAATAAAAGTGGCATTCAACCTAAAATTACCCCACAAAACACCAACCTAAAACCATTCAATGTAAAACACAGTCGAAAGATTTTCAAACAATTGACACGGAAATTAATTTCCCAATAAAAATCTGAACCTTTGAAGTTGTAGGATGACGAAACCTTCGCTGCTATGTTTTTGTATCATTCGACGTAAACAAAAATATACCGGTAGCGTCAATGCAACTTCAAAGTTACATAATCCGAACTTTATTGAATACGGTTGAGCATGATACACATTCGGAAAGTAATTAGCGGCAAAATTCGGGGAAGCAAATTGCTTCGCATAGTCAATAAAATACGTAATATTCGCGTCACGTGAAATAGCTCAATTATCCGCTAATAAGCTTTTGTATAATTTTTGGTTTAATACAGGAAATAGGTTTCTCTCCGTAACACAAACACATTCGCTCTTGTAATAAATCGCTTCTGGTTAGAATAAACTACTAATGGTGGAGCAGAGATAAGCAAGATGTAAAAAATATTTAAATAACACAAAAATATAATGCAAGTTATAAATTCGAAGTGAACTCATATCATTTATAAATTAAAAAAAATTGGAGGAAAGAAAATATTTACAAAAATCTTTCTATTGTCTATATAAAAGCGAAATATTTTACAATCATGTACGACACAAATAAATTGGTACCACAACGATTTTAGTATTGATACTAAAATTATCACAAATACTTTTGGGTAACCAAGAATTTAAAAAATGGCATATTTTCTTTTTAAAATTTTACATCAAAACACTTTTTTACCAAACAAAAAAGTTAAAAAACAAAGAAACAAAATTGCTATGGACTACAAGTTGCTTGCCTTTCTATTATTTAACATCAAAAGATGAAACAAGGGAACCGAGAGCAGAGACCTGTAAGTGACTCATCTTATTCTGAGGCAATTAACAGAATAATTTTAACGTGTAAAAGAAAATAATGAACATTATAAGTAAATTACTAGAATTTTAAATGAAACTACTGAAAATGAATATTACTCCTGGTGAGTGGTAGTTTATTTTATATTCAATTGCGCTGTTTCTATTTGATAATAAGAATCTTCGCCAGTTTTTCTTTACTTTTAAGATATTAGTAAAGAGAAATTGGAAACTATTCTTAACTGCAACTAGAAGTAATGACTGAAGTAGAGCAGAGATTTGAAATCAGTGGAAAAGAGTCACGAATTAAAAACATGTGAATACCTAAAAGCGTGGGTGTTGATTTTATAATGAATTTTATACTGTTAAGTTTTCATATCTGAACCAGGTTTCTTCAAATTTAATTTCTAAAGCGAAGCCGGGACAAGGAGGGGTAACGCGGGCCAAAGCGGTCCAAGGCAGACTAAGGCGGGTCACGGCTGACCAAGGCGCGTCACTGCAGGCCAAGGTGAATTAAGGGCGGGCCAAGGCGGGTCAGGCGGGATAAAGGTGGACCAAGGTCGGACCAGGGGCGGGTCAAGGCCGGGCAACGCACGGCAATGTGGGCGGGGCAAGGTGGGTGGGGCAAGGTGGGTGGGGCAAGGTGGGTGGGGCAAGGTTGGTGGGGCTAGTTGAGTGGGGCAAGGCGGACTGGGCAAGGCGGGCAGGAAAAGGTCAGACAAGACCGGACAAGGCCGGGCAAGGCCGGGCACGTTTTTGACACTAGCTTTTAAAAATAATAACTGTACAGGTAAATGCTATGTGGTAACGTTTGTGTAGCTCCCATAAAGTTGTGAAATGTGAATATTTAACACATTTTTAATGGGTCTTCTCCAAAAACGCATTTATTAAATTTACTGTGTCAATATTCTGTCGTGTGACACATACAATTATTCAAAATGTTAATATTGGGCTAAGAAGCCCAATTCTAAAGAGGAATCAGAAAATGGATGACAACAGTATTGTACATGCTAAAGGAATACCTAATATGAAGGAAATATAATGCAGGTGAGCGGAAGGAGGGATACGACGAGTCAGGACAGACGTCTAGCCAGGATTTAATCCGTTGTGACTAGGAAATGGGAAAGCAACTAGGCGCTCATTAAGTATACGGGAAAAGAAGGGAATAACACAACTTAAACAGACATGCAACGCTGAACAAAGCGGAAGCATGAGCAATCATCGGGACGAAGGCGGAATGCGAAGGCTTCAATATGAGGCGAATAAAGGGACGACGGCAAAAATCGGATAGATCTTAGTGGATCGTACTGTCAGTAGACGTGAAAAGCAAGGGCTGGGAGCGGTGCGTGGCGGAGGTGGAGGGAGTGGAAGAGGAGCGTCTTCGGAGCGTGTCCAGCCTGCCCCAGTTCCCGCCGCCGCACCGCGCCGCGCCGGTAGAAAGCCCTGCGCCCGTTGCGTCATCTTCCCATCTTCCGCCCCTCCCTCCCTCCCTCCCTCCCTTCCCCTCCATTACCCCGCCCCCGCCAAGGTGGAGCACCGGGCAGTCACGCCGTCTGGCGGCGCCGCACCTTTTGGATGCCGCTCAAAACCACGCTCACGGCAGCCATGGACCGACAAACTCTTGCTCAATAATTG